TGTTGGTGCGCGAGATGCGCGAGTGGGCGGATGATTGGCTAGGCCATCGGATGCTTGGTGGTGTGCACAAACGTTCGACTAGGGATGTTTTCTTGCGCATCGTGGAGGCGTGTGAGGACCCGGAGATGGTGTTCGTGGGCCAGGATGTCTCCAAGTACTTTGACTCCATCCATGGCGCTCACCTCTGCCAGGTTCTGACTTTCTTGCGGGCTCCTGAGCAGTTTGTTTCTTTTGTGCACGGCGTCTTGGAGGAGCAGTGGAGGATCTTCACTGTTGGAGGCCGGGTTGGCAACCGCTGGCACAGGGCCACTCGTGGCCTTGCTCAGGGCGACCCACTGTCGCCGCTCCTTGCTGCCTCGATTATGGCGGTGTGGACGGCAACTGTGGCCACCTCAGGTTGTGAGGCGGTGACTTTCGTCGATGACCGTAGCTTCTGGGGCCGTACTTTGGTTGAGCTCTCTTCGGCAAAGGCACTCAGCGATGGGGTGGATGCTGCTTTTCAGTTTCGGTGTGACACTACGAAGTGCCAGGTGGCGTCGGCGGAGGGCGAGGTTGGCTTTCGGGCGGCGGAGCTCTTCGGCTACTCGCACAGCGGTGAGTTCGAGACCTTGGGTGTGCGGTTTTTCCTCCAGCAGGGTCGTGCTCCTCAGTTGGCGCGGTACTCCATCGAAATCGCCAACACGAGGCTCGGGTGCATTGGTGTTGTGGCCGCGGGTCTCCCGGTGCAGGCTCTCTTCATCAAGTCGTTGGTGTTGCCGTTGATGGCTTGGGCTGGGGCCATGGCGAGCATTGAGAAGGAACAGTTGCATCAGCTGCGTCGTGCTGTTCTGGCTATGTCCAATTGCAAGAGCGCTTGTGACACGCCGGCGCTCGCGAGGTGGGAGGTGCTGGGATGGGATTGCAATCCTGTTTTCGCACGCCGATGGTCGGCCATCCGGGCGGCGATTCTGTTTGCTTGCAGGCCGCCTTGTTGGTTGGAGGAGGCGTCCATTCGTCTCGCTGCGCGGCGTTGGCCTTCCATGTTACCGGTGGCGGCTGCTGTGCTCGGTGAACTGGGGTGGTGGGCATCACCTTGTGGCTCCACCATTTTTCGACGCGACCTTCGAGGGCATCTTCGTGCTTTCCATGTGGGCTTTGACAACGAGCAGGTCATCAAGGAGTGGCTGGTGGATTGGCATCGGCGAGCTACTCTGGAGGACACGATTCGGGTCAAGAAGCGTCTTCATCGTGGTGAAGAAGAGGGTGACCTGGCCCAAGGCGACCTTCTTCCTGGAGTTCCAGCTGGCTCTCTGGTTGTCTTGGCTGGTCACCGTAAGCTTTTCCACTCTGGAGGTGACCGACATCGCAGGAATTCGGCACTGGCTACGGGGTGCTCGGTCTGGGCCAAGGCGGCGAAGAAGGGTGTGAAAGTTGAGACCATCGCCACATGCATGTGTGGCCGGCGCATGCCTAGCAGGCCTCACCTTCTGTGGAGATGCGATGCCACAGCGCACTTGCGACCCCGTTGTGCGCCACCCGTCAACCGTGCCGAGGAGCGCATGTTGTGTCGTGTGGTTCCTGAACTCCCTGCTGCCCCGGGCGTCGTGGGGGAGGATGAGGTCATCGACGGCTTGGCGGCGGAGCTCGAGAAGCAGCTTGGTGCTGAGGCGGTCGTCTTCGTCGCGACTGACGGCAGCTGCGTCAAGGATGTGGCGGCTTGGGCGGTGGCTGTGCAGGATGGGCCGGTTTTCTGTTCCGGGGTCATCGGCGAGGATCAATCCCCCTACAGGGCCGAGGTGGAGGGCATTCGCAGGCTGTTGATGGC